AGGTAGGATGTACCATGATTTCCATTCATGCTTTGAGAAGGCCTATCGGGGGAAATAAACGGAATAAATGAGTCATTTTGAATGTAAATAACGATTTTATTGCCTAAATGAGCACATTAGGCTATTTTCCGCTGTTCAGGTTTTCATCATGCAGTTGCAAAATATGCTAGGTTCTAGCTTAAAAATGAGGCAGTTTACGGCCATTATCGACAGTTGCCTGTTGTTCAGTTCTGTATGATCAATCAAATGTCATTCAGAATTATCAGAGTAGGCTACGAGTACAGAACACAAGTTTCAGACAGAACATTTTGAGTAAATGGTTTGGTAGTTCCTAATAATGGTATGTCCCATCATGAGAAAAATATCTGTTATCAATGCGTTTTACACAAGTAATCCAATGTTACCAAAGACAAGTCCATTTCACCAGACGTTAGTGTGTATAAATCTGCTCTCAGTGATGTGAACTTGAACGCCTGCGTGGATAAAACAATACAACAATGGAGTAGTACAATTTCGGCATCTCATCAGACACACTTTTGGTGTTCACAAGCAAACCATCAAGAGGTTCAGAACAATCACGCCATCAACGGCTGTGGCATGCAATCAGTTCTGAAAAAAAACACCCGAAACAGAGATCCTCTGACACCGGAATTCATGGTACGATCCAGAAGACTACGAGGTTCATGAGTCACTTGAAACGGGTCAGACAAGAGGTCACGTATACAGCGGTATTGATCAAACTCGTGCAACAGCACCCTGACACTTTCATCAAATTTGTTCCTCCCGACGTTCAGTGTTTCGAGCTTCATTTCTGGCATTGAATATGATACTGTCCCAGAAGCAACATATCTTAGGCGTTTCCTTCTTTTAGTGGAATGCAATTAAAAAAATACGATTTCTCCATTTCGATGACGGTTTGTGGTGCATCAGTTCAACAGTAACATAGCCCCAGTAAAGAATCACAATACGAATTTATCCATAAAGATGAGTCACAGGTATGATACAGGTATTGTACTTTCATTTTGTCAATGTTCTATTACCCATCCATTTTGAATCACCGGAGCTAGTCTTTTCTGCATCCACTCCACCAAGTTGACTGTCAAGAGCGATTGGCCAGTTTCCTCTAATTAATGCCGTACATTGGTCACTGAAAACCACTGCTTAGATAGCAAAAATATCCTTGTTTTCAACGCAGTGAAAAATTTCCGATTTTGCCTCTCAGCTTTAAAGTTTAAATCACTACAAATTTCATCGCGACACTCAAGGCCATGCAAATTTAAACGGTGATACAAGAAAACAAGGAATATTAAAGTGTGAGAAAAAGTTCCAGATATATGCTGTTCACCCTTAACTATCGATATATATGCGTGACACTGGAAACCGAAATGTATTTCCAAAATGAATGTCATGTTGCACGAGTTCGATCAATATATGTCATAACGTTGAGCAATATATTTTTAAAATGGTACATTGTTGGGAGAAGATGATCAAACAACAAAGATTTATGGATCCATTGAAACAACTGAGAGACCGGGGTCAAACACTGTCTTTTAGAACATCTCAAGTTGGTTGATTTGAACAAAGCAGCCCCTTAGTGGTGCTAGATGATAACCATCGTCGTTAGGTCACCTCTACACTTCTTCACTTACTAGCGTACAGCTAATAAAACGGTGAATTATGCCTTAGAGAGAAAATACGTATGGGCGTGTCGCGAAGGAATATCAAGAAACTCACAAAGATACGTATAGTTAATGAAAAACCACTGTATAATAAAATCTCCGACCGAAAATGAGACGAGTTTATAATTGTAGCTAATTTTCATGGAAAATTTCATAGCAAAATAATAACGAGAGTACAGCAAGCAATAGTAAAATAATTTGATAATAAGAACCTTTTTGTTTTCTTTTATTGAACATACAAATATACAACAACATTTAGGAGGAGTTGGGTGAACTATTAAGACTCTAGCTGGAGCTACATATTGAAAGGGAAATCCGCGAGGCGGTTGTGGGACTGGACCTTACGTAGTCCACGGTGATAAGTTGGTGACCCTAGCTGGTTGATCACCGTCACTGTAGACTAGGTGGACGACACAACTGAAATGGAGTGATTTTTTTTCCGAATTCAGCAATAGGCCTTAGAGCTGAAGCGGAGGCGAATAGCTGACTATCATGCATAGATAATCACTTAATCAGAGACTGAAACGGTTTCGCTCAAAGCGTGGGGAGACAGATGAACCGAAGAGCAAAATCGAATTTCAAACACGCAAAACTTCCAAAATGCGCTCTTCTTTCCTACGAACACAACTTTATATGCTGTTTAGTGTATAAACACACAGGTAGCTGCTTTTGAAGTGCGTTGACAACAAAACCGTCTCCGCAGAAAGCGCACTCTCTGGAAAAAAGAATGCAATACGTTCATCAAACGAAACTGAACTGTAAGATTGCAGACTGACAATTTCGAATGGGAAACCATTAATCGTCAAAATTCTCTCCCTAGGGTACTTAGTTGCCATAATGGTCACAAGGGTGACAAGACGACACTTAAAACCGCCAATACAAAACGCGTGTGCTTAACATTGTTCATTATCTAAGATGAATACATAGTCAAGGTATTTTGATAATATCTATCATACTAACAAGCCAACTAGCATGTAGGACAACTTTTGTAGCTCAGATGGCAAGATGGATGACTTGGCACATCGGAGAACATCACTAAAATTGGTTAACATTCGAAAGGTCTCGCAACCGTAAAAACTCAGCTGCCATTCACTTGGTTAACATCGGATGTTCATATAGTGATCAGGAAACCAATTGTGTGCAAACAAATGTTTTTATTTTCTAAAATTCATCTCCAGGTATTCACAATCAGATGCGAGGTTTAAATACAAAATATGTTGAAATAACAGTTGCCTTGCCAAATGGGAGTTGCTTTAAATTGATTTTTTCGCAAGCTGATAAAAGAAATGAAGAGTTGCAACATACGGGGTGGAGAGTGGGAGACAGGACTCACGGGTCATTTGAACCTTTGTACCGCCAACCCAGTCTCAACTAATCAGTTTGAACCAAAATTGATTCGCACACGAACTGTGATCAACCCAGTTGACTTTTCCTTTTCATGCGCGTGGAGGGTCATTGGCATCCAATAGCTCCACCAACAGCTCATTTTTGCGCATGACGTAAATCATGTATCCTTTCCACAGTTAGCAAAATTAACTCAGACTGAAGAATGTTGTTAAACACAATGCACCTAGTTCCTCTTAGGCATGTCACGAGTGCCAGTAAAATCACAATACATCCTTGCCTACGCATTGCGTTCTTCTGTTCAAATCACTTTAGATGAAGTTACGAATTGGATGATCATTTTTTCATTCATGTATTATTTTCAGTCTGATCTATCGTCAACTTAATGAAGGTTTGATTAGTTTGCTGTGAGTCTAACAAAATTAACCTCAAAGTTAAAGGCTAGAGTATAAACTAATATGAAAAATCTGGGTCTTAATGCCTTTTTGTATAATAGCAAATAAGTGGGTCGGTTTTCTGTGTTAGAATCAGCTGTTCAAATTCGATTTTATTTCAGTTTGGAAACGGACTACCGGATAATCGTAAATCATAGGGAAGTTGTTATTGTACAAGTGGGCATGAATTTTTCTATCCTGATCGGGGTTGCGAGCTCGTATCACCGGGTCATCGGGATGTATGTATCTGATTCGTGGTAAGTACGTGCTAAGCGAACCCAGTTTGCACCCATTGTACTGGTGGGCTGGCCTGCCCGAAATAAAAACCAGAGGGCATAGCAAAGAATACTTAAAATCAATAGCTAATTCACCTCATATACCGGTTGCACATAAACAGTTACCTTGCGCAAAGAGATTCTGCGCCATTTCTTGTTGTTGTTGTTGCTCTATCCAATTTTGTCAAAATTGAATGTTTGGAACAAGCTGATTGTGGCATCTGCTTAATCATTCTAATCCGCGTGACGTTATGCACACGATCAGAAGTGAAACACCTCTAGAAGAAACAAGCAAACACTGACAATTGGATTATTATTCAAGGAAAATTGGAATAAAGTAAGACGAAACTATTATAAATAATATTATTTCTCTCGTTAAGACTGATGCCTTTCAACCTGTTCACCGAGTAAGGGAACAGCCTGGGATTAGTTAGGTTGACTCATATCAGGAAGCGAGATTGGACAAGGGTATTGCGGCATTCATACAGTGCCACCCAATCCTGTTGCACATGTTCATTTCACTTTGTGTTCAGATTGCAAGAGTTTATACTGCCGGTTTCCGACACTAACCACTCGACACTGAGATTCAAACAATCGCTTACGTGTCAAACAGGCTAATCTATGCAGTAACATTTGCTTACCCAGAGTACACAAAATAATTTTTAACGTAAAAGCCTTTTAGTATAAGGCATTTAATTTAATTTTATGTATTTCACTAACAATATATCCACAGCAGTAACAAACAAAAACACGCAGTTGTACTTTGTTCTACAACAGGTAGAGTAAGCCCACTGTGGACGGTACGGTGGATTTATTCATACTTAAGAAAACAAAACAGATGTGGGAGAGTAAATTTTCATGCGTTGCGGTTTCGAAATGTTTTGAGTGGGGAAACGTCATGGTCGTATAAAGTGAGCGTTTGCCAAATTAAGTCCACTGGTCTTGATTTGAAGTTATGTTATTTTGATTCTGGCAACTGTGAACTTAATTTGACCTCGAGCGTTAGATGAACTTTTCCTTGAAGCATTAACTGAAGCCACAGTTGCTGTTAATCTCTTCAACTCACCACACCTCTAGACTGAAAACTTAGAAGCGCTGTAAAACCACGTAGATAGCAATCGTCGATGAGTGGGCATACACAATACTTAGTTAGACAAATAGCTGAGTTAAGAGACGCCAAGCAAAATTCTTGGTGTTATGCTCACCGACTACCACAGTAAAAATATCTAAAATATCTATCCTCTCAGGGAAGTGAAACTCAAAGCCATCTACGAATGCTTTACTCCATCATCTTCATCATCATCATCATCGTCATCATCATTATCATCATAAAAATGACATATAATCTCTAAAATGAAATCAGTAAAGCATGACAAGGGGCTATCTTGTACTTAGGCTCTTCCACAAAATGCACTAGTAAATTCGGATTTGCAATACCCGCTTTGCGGGAATGTTTATTTTTCCAACACTTCAATGGACTGTGACGTTTAATAAACAGGTTGAGAAAGATTGGTTAAAGTTATCAAGGTTTAGTTTGTCACAAGTAATATTGGAAATCTGTGAACTGCATTCTAACCAGCTTTGTTGTCCTCACGATTGATGCCTCCTCCCACGGCAGGAACACACACAAAATATCTAAAACTATTCTTGACTGGGAAAACTCGCAGTTAGAACACATCGATGTTGTGGTAGTTTGGAAAGAGTTACTTATCTACAAAGCACGCCAGAGCCAAAAATAGATTTTGTGTGGTAAAAACGTGTATCTACGATCAGTATAATGCGCTCCTATAGATAGCGGTATTAACATCGGCTAACATGTCACGTTTAGAGGATAGCATTCTTTCAAAATGAATCTTCAAAATTGTGGAATTTCGGATCTTGAGCAGCTGATTCAAACACAAACTCCATAGTCTTTTGACAATACGTTGAAACAGATTATCATCAAACAGCTTCAGTACTCTGATGGAGTTCGTCTACATGGTTTGATAAAACGAACAGATCTTGAAGAGAGTTGAATACTCATGCACTCTACAAACGAGATAATATGATATATCCCACTCATGTAAAATGGAAACATGCGAACTTTCTTTTAGCAGTTCAGCCCATACCTTAATATCGGCTATTCGTGACCGTTTTGTTCCTTTCCAGGATGGTTGATGAGCAGGAGATAGACCAACTGCCAAACGTGAACCTCCAAATGTCACGATTGGCAACGCCAGAGATAGGCTGGCATCGTTCACCAGAGTTTCTGAAACACGTGAACCAGATGGATTATAGTCATCTGAGCTTGTTCGCAGCTCAGCGCCGCTGCCCAATCTCGTGCCCCGACCGCCGTGAGCTCGGTCGGCTTCTGTGTGCATTCCATCCGTTTCGGTGCCTCGTTTGGAATCCAGACTGGTTTTGGCAGTCTGACCAAGTAAACCGGCCAGAGTACCAGATCGTTTGCTTTTAATGTGATGTGAGGGAAACCGGGTTGAACTGACTTTGTGCGTATCGACAGTGGCATTTTCACCGACCGAAGATGGACCACCTGGTGAAATAAATGCGGAACAATTCGCTCTGTTTACCGTTTTATCCTTAAAAAGAAGTTGCGAAAAGTTTTCATGAATTCGCTTTAAAGGGCATAACAATTCCGGTTATTGGTGTATTCAAATAGCGGCGGCACAAAAATGTTGTCTCGCCTCTTTTGGATAACGTACATATGTTCGTTGGAGCACATTCGATCATTTTAATGTGGTATCGATAATTTTAACCCCAGGAGTTTTGCTGTTTTTTGTTGATATTTGTAATTTATTTAGTCCACGTATGCTGTAAGGTCATATTTAGAGTGTCCAAATATTATAGGAAACAATGTCTAATTACTGGGGAAATTTTTACATAAAAATCATCAATTTTGTGACCTCGTTCCTGGTGTAGTCAGTCGCGAATACACAATGAATCAGATAAACATGCAATTATTGTATAATGCACTCTTGTACATTTTCCATCATATCACTTGCATGTGTTTCCTTTTGCCGATTAAAATAGCACCACCATTTTGCCTTGTGGTTCTGTTCAGTCCATGAAAGGTCTTTGTTCCCACAGCGACGTCGGCTAGTCGCACAGATAGAACACAAATAGCAACCTAATGTTTAGTCTCTTTCTTGAAAACAAATTTTTATCAAGACTCGGGAGCTGATAGTGACTGGCAAATCTGCTTCCTAATCAGCGCGGACTGCGGTTGGACGAGAAAATCGACGAAGCGAATGGGCGAGCAATCTTATTCGGTTCAGTTCAGGTGTCCATCATCAAGGAGCAAAGTAGACACGGTGCGGCCGCACAGATTCACTCCTGCAGTTCTGCCCACTGATGGTATCTGTTTTAAACTCTCATCTGAGCAACAGCTTATACTGGTTGAACCCATACATAACATGGACGATCCTACTGGACCTTGTGTGTGTGTATGTGTGTGTTACAAAATGGCCCAATAAGATTTGCACTACTATCAGTGGAACAACAGTGGCCAATGCTGTTGACCAGATTTTCGATGTACCAAAATGTTGGCATTTAGTTTTCCAATTAAAAGAAAGCAAAACTCTCTGGTCAGGGCTATCACAGTATGATGATAATGGTGAATTTCGGCGTGCTGAAAATTACTAGTGTTATTTATATGTTATGTAATAAGTAGTATCGAAATGACTGAACAATAGTTCTGTAGAAGCACAATACCAATTTCACAGTTCACTCCGTCCATCCGATGGAAATATCTGACTCTCTTCTGTACTTCGGGTTGGAATCACCCACTCATATCATCATTTGCATCTCAAAGAGTTATTCCGAGACGAAATGCTGAAGGGACAGAAAAAATAAATAGACAGGGAGTCGATGTCTGTTGCAACACTGTATTACATTCCGAGAGATGGAAATCTACTGATACGAGTATTCCCTCAGATCAGTTCAGTTTGCCCTACTCTTGTATTGTTCTTGTGCATAACTCTTTGTAAACAGAACATATTACGAAAACTTTCCACTTTTTCGAGGTAGCAAGTTCTCCAAAATTAATTACTTGGTAAAGTAATTTACAAGTACTGAACAGATCTATAGACAACTATTTATCCTTCTGAGACGGAAAATTACCATCCACATGATTACGTGTTACTTGTCACTTACCTGAATCTGGTGAGTAAATGCTTGTCTCGCTAGATGGTGTAACCACAGATTTACTCATCGCTATGTTGGTACTCGTGAGTAGATCCGGCATAGATAGACTGCGTAAACCGAGCAATACAGTACGCCAGTTCATCTGACCGAAACGACCTTGAGATTGAGAAAGGGTCCCATTCGAATAGCCCAACTGTTTCAAGGTCATACAGTCACGAGCTAACTTGAGCAACCGGCGTGTTTCTTGCTGTACACGAAGCCATTCCGTGCGGATTTGCAGTAACCGAATAAACAGATATCGTAGTGACCAATATACACCAGGCTCATTCCATTCGGCACAGAACAGGCAACGAATAACAGCTAGATCACAGTGAGTGGCTAACAAGCACACCGGTCCAGTCGATCGCGTTGGCAGTTCCGTAGCGTGAACTGTGGTGCTTGTCGAAACTGCTGGTGTGCAACCATTGTCAGCATTATCAACATATAGACCGGTGGCTAACTTCAATAGCTGTTGGATTCTGGAGTAGCCTGGAGGTGTGTTCTTGTCCAGCGTCATCATCTGTAAATTTACAAAAAAGGAGATAAACATTATCAACGACAGAATG